CGCCTCGGCGGCGTGAAGCGGAGCCCCCGGCTCCCGTTCTCGCCGGGTTCCTTTCTTCCCGATCAGCGAAAAATAAACACTCGGGAAGGTAAAACAATAGCGGGGCCACCTGGGACGCGGCGCGCGCAGAGTACCCACGTTGGGGCGGGGGCGGGGTGGAACCCGGGGGTCCCGGCCTCCGCCTCGGAGCCCCCTTTCCAATTTGCCTCCTGGAGGGTGGGGCTACCCGGGGCTCCAGGACTCGGCAGGAGGCGTCGGGAATTCCCAGGAGTGAAGCATTCAGTGAAAGTATTCCAGGAACAATTGGGCTTCCCACAGCTTCCCTGCTCTGGGCAGGGAATTGCAACGACTTGTCCAAGGTCAGAAAGCGAAGGTTGACCGCTCAGGTGGACTGGTCCAGGTTAGGAGACCCAGGTGTCCGCACCAGCCTTCAGACCTGGCCCCTCGGTTTTGCAGCGGTTGTCTTGGCCTTGGCTACATCTGTGTATTTATTTTAGGAATCTGCTGGCATTGTGGGACGTGCTTCAAGGCTGCTGAGCCCCAACTTGGCTTCGGTGCCCTGAGCAGGTCTGGAGAAGGTGACAGCGCCGTGCTCTAACCCCGTGGATGGAGACACACTTCTTTGATGAAGAAACTCACACCTCCCGGAGCCAGCCTGGTGGTTGCCCTGTCTGTCAGAGGTTTTGACAAAACCTGCCCTGTTCGCTCTGGGTAATCCGAGTGAGGAAGATTACAAACACCTTCACTGGGAAGCCAAGGACGTTTCTGTATAATCAGGGGATGAAAGGATTTTCCCAGACTCTTTTCCCCCTTTTTTCTTTGAGGATTAATCCTCTGCAAATCTACAATCCCAGTGGAAACGCCAGGCGCACACGACTGGGCAGAAGCCTAGAGCACCTTCAGAATTGGTGTGGCCCCTCCATTTAGCATAGGGGAGGGAGGCCCATGCCACCACCCCCTCCTGCTGAGCTCTTCCCTTTAACCTGCCCTGCTTTCCAGAGTACAATCATCTCCAAAACCTCTCCCTGGAGCGGTTACTGGATTGCCTGAAATGAGAGATTAAAGTGCTGGGAGACCAGGAAGCGCCCTGTGCTGTGTCTCCTCGCGGCTGCTGACATGAAGTGCTTTTTCCCAGTGCTGGGCTGTCTGGCGGTGCTGGGTAAGTGGCTCAGCTTATCAGTGCGATCGATGTGAGAGTTTAACCCGCTGTTAGTGCCTGTGATTCCTTGTGGTTCCTTCCTATCAACACAAGGCTTTAGGGGACAGCAGGAGGATGCGGGTGTGTGTCACCCGGGGGAAGCGAGCACTTGGGTCCATTTCTGATCTGGGAGGCCGGGTGCAATGCCGCTTGTTGTCCGCAAGAAGGAAGGACGGCTGGTCTGAAAGTGCCGGCCTGGTGCACTGGGGGGAGGTCTCCCTGCTGCAGGGCTCCAGTGTAGGGAGCCCAGGTGGGTTTGGGGCTCCTCTTGTAATATAATATGACAAGCAATGGAGAATTTACAAGCATGAAATCACTCCTGTATCATCGGTCCACTTCATTCCTAATAGAAAGCGGCAAGATTATTCCTTCTGTGTTGGGAAAGTTGGCTTGGTGATTGTGATTTTTTTTTTTTAAAGAGGGATGTGGGAATGACACAAGGAGCCTTGGTTGTGTAGTGGTTATTTGTTGGGCTGTGATCTGAAAGGTCAGCAGTTCCAAACCACCAGCCGCCCTCCATGAGAAAGACTGGCTTTCTACGCCTGTAAAGAGTTACAGTCGTGGAGACTGACAGGGGCAGTTCTATCCTGCCCTGGAGGGTTGTTATGAGTTGGCATCCACTCGGTGGCAGAGTTTTGTTTGTTTTTTGTTTTTCCTTCTCTTTTTTGAATGGCTGGACTAGGGGCCTGAAGGAATCCTTTGCCATACGTAAGCGGCCTGTAGACTGAAAATGAGGCACTAGTCCTACGTACACAAACACACAGTAAAGATGAGAGATTGCATTGTAGAAGGTTTGTTTCAGGTGCATGTGCATTCAGAGTAGCAAGAGGATTCGGTGGCCCCAGGAGATGCACCCTTGCCACTTCTCTTAGCAATTCCTTTCCCATCAGAGAGCTCCAGCACTCACCCATTCTCAAATTCCAGAATACGTTTAGTATCATTGAGTACTACCCTGAGTGTGGTAGCTTAGAACGCATCTCATGTCTAAGATGAACTCCTTAGCTAGGAACAGATGAGTTCTATCCCCCAGCTCCCTAAACCTCACTCCTGAGCACATCCAGTTAGCCTTGGTCCTCTGAATTCAGAAGGTGTCTCCACTGCTACCAGTGGCTTTGATGCCTGCAGATCGAGGTGGCTTGCATTTATGGGGTTTATTTGTGCCCCCCTAACTGTGGATGTTGCTTTTATGCATGGGCTACACTCTTGCAAAAAGGTACTAAGTGCATGGAAAGAGAATGGACTTTGGAGTTGAAAGTCCTGGTTTCAACCTCAGCTTCACCGTGGCTGACATCTGAGTCGCAGCTAAATGGAATGATACTGCCAAGAGCTGGGAGACAAGGGGATAGAAGGTGTTCTATCCATCTCATCTGCCCAAAATAATGTCTGCAATGCATAGTGAATGTGTTAATCTACTAGTTCACAAATCTCACCGGGTCACGTGGGGATCACGGAGAATCTTTAAAAATTCTCCTTTCTAAGCAACATCCCCAGGCCAATTAAATCCTATTCTTTTGGGTCTCCCTTGTGAGGAGCCTAGGTGGCACTGCCTGCTGACCTCAATGCCGGGGGTTCAAACCCACCAGCCTTGCCTTGGGAAGAAGACGAGGCTCTCTGCTCCCGTAAAGCTTTCCCATCGCGGACACCCTGTATAGGGTTGCTCTGAGTTGGGATCAGCTTGATGATGGGTTTGGGGTGATTTCAATGAATTTGAGAGTCGGTGTGTGAGTTCATTAGTGCAACCCTACCCCCACCCCCTCCAAACACACACACACACACACACACACACACACACACACAGAGTGTGGTACTGCGTGTAGTCAGTCTTCTGCCTGGTTGTGGGTTATGTAGACCGTCGTCTCGTTGTCTCCATGGTTGTGGGTTATGTAGACCGTCGTTGTCTCCATGGTTGTGGGTTATGTAGACCGTCGTTGTCTCCATGGTTGTGGGTTACGTAGACCGTCGTTGTCTCCATGGTTGTGGGTTATGTAGACCGTCGTCGTTGTCTCCATGGTTGTGGGTTACGTAGACCGTCGTCGTCTCGTTGTCTCCAGGCCCACTATGTTCAGGGTGAAGAAGGCTAGTAGAACCTCTGTCCACCAATCCCCAACTGCTGTGTTGCCCACTGGCTATCCTGTGTTTGTTATTCACTCTGTTTCTGGTTCAGTCAGCCCTGAGTGACTCATGTGCACTGCGAAGAAGCAAACAAGGGAAGCCCTGGGGCTGGGGGTGGGGGCCTGGATATGGCATGGGGTGTGTGGCAGAGGCGGGAAGAGGGTCGGCTGAGTGGAAGGGAGAGAGGACTGCTGGTGGGAAAGCCAGGGCGTTTGACATTTGTGGCTGCTCAGAAAGGGAAGGACTGCTCATGGTACCCAGCGGCTCCACCCCTGGGCCACCCTGGGGAGAAAAGTTCAGGTCCTGGCCCGGGTATTCGCATCCTTCTCCCACTCCTCATTTGGAGACAGGTGCTGCGGAGGGAGATGGGGACCAAAGTGGCCTGAAAGGGAAAGAGGCAAATGTCCAGATGTGGCGGACAGGGGAAGGTTTGGGATTATGCAGGTGTGTTTTTAATCCCCACTTGATTTAGGGGCCCACTTGTGGAACCTCTATTTTTCTCTACTTGAAGGGCCGTCGTCCGAGGGAGAGCTTGCAGCCTCTTTCTGCACCAGGGAGAAGCAGAAGTTGTTTGGGGTGGGAGCGACACCCATGTTGGGGTCCTAGTTCCTGCTTGTTGCACTCTAGGGTGCTGGGATCTCATGCCTTGTAAATTCAAGTGTGATGTGACTACACAATAGCAAAGGGTGTTATGTCCAAGTGGCTCATGCCTGTGGAATAAAATTTAGTTTGTAAAAGGTAGGATGAGGCTGGGTACTCTGCAAAGTAGGGGTGAGAGGGGCACCTGCCTCCAGAGCTGTCAAGTGGAGTTAGGAAAGTACAGGTGGGGGTAAGCCCAAGGTGCCGGCAACTCTTGTGACATCGCTCGGACTCACTGCTACGGAGCCCGTTCCGACTCAGGGTGACTCTACAGGACAGGGTAGCACTTCCCCTCTGGGTTTCTGAGAATGTCCCTCTTTACAGGAGTGGAAAGCCTCATCTTTCTCCCAGGTGACACTGCTAAAGATACGCTTTTCTGCCTACTTCCTTTGCTAGTGTCGAGGATTTGGCTCAGGTACCTTTGTTGCCTGTCTGGGTAGTGAACCTGTACCTACCCATGTTTGACTCACTCACTCATTCCGGTGAGTCACTGCTGACGCAGTGACCCTACAGGACAGGGTAGAACTGACCTTGTGAGTTTTCAGAGACTGTAACTCTTTGTGAGATTAGATAGCCCCATCTTTCTCCTGAGGAGTGGCTGGTGGATTTGAACTGCTGACCTTGCAGTTAGCAGCCCAATGCGTAATCCTGTGTCTTATTTCCGTGTGTTGTGCCCCAGGTACCTCACCCCACTCAGGAGCCTATGGATCCATTCCAAAGCCTTACTACTACCCTGGGCTTGGGTTTGGCTACGCCTCGCTGATATACAGTCTCAGCTCTGAGAATGTGGTGGGACCAGAGGAACGGGAGATGGGAGATAGAGGGGGCGGGGCCTTTGTGGATGTGGAATGAGTGTTTGAGAAGAAAGGCATGGAATGTTGTGGCTGTACCTGGGAGAAGCTCCTGTGAGTGACAGTGGCAGGGGAGAGTGACAGCAGCCTGGGAGACATGGAACAGGGTGTGTATCATCAAGAACAGAAAGGATGAGATTGGGGACATGAACATAGGTCTTAGATCCATAAAGTGAGTTTCGATTTTGTGTAGTCCGGGGAGAGTGACGCCTCCCAGGCTGGTGCTGATGCTGCAAAGAAGATGAAAGAGGTTCACGGGTGTTGGCAGCGAAAAACAGAGGCTATTGGGGCACCTCTGCAAGCTCATCCATCAGAGAGAAGTTCATTTGTGGAGTGTTTAGGAAGCCTCTTGGTTGGGGGGCCGAGGGGGGTGTGTGTCTGAGGAGCCAGTCCTTACTCCCTTAGTTAGGGGAGCTTCTGAGGAAGTGGGGGAAAGTGCTTTCAAACGCCATGGAAGAGGTTTTGATGTACTGGTTGGGGAGAGCACAGAGACAGGACTAGGATGATCAAAGGCTGTATAGAGGAATAGGCAGAGGAGGGGAGTGGAGTGGTTTGGGCCCATCATGAGGACAGTTCTGAAAGGACAGCATGAGGATTGTGAGTCCTGGATGCACAGGTACCAGTGCCCCAACAGCTGACCCAGAGGGCTTGCTCTTACCTTCCCGGGACCACCTGACACGGCACTTCCTGCGGGGAGCATGCCTTCCAATTCAAATCATTGAGCCACCCCTGGGCACTAAGGGTATTCTTCAAATGCCTCAGTCTCCTACATTTTTCACGGCAGCAAGAGACTAATAATGGTTGGCATTGAATACCAGTTCTTTTGACTGCAACCCTTCCTGGAAAGCAAGCCCTATGTCATTCAGGCCCCAGAACCCACTGCTGTCGAAGCATGGTAACCCTACAGGACACGAGAGAACTGGCCCTCCGGCTCCCGAGGCCGTAAATCTTGATGGAAGCAGAGGGCCACCTATCTCTCCCTGGGAGTGGCTGGTGAGTTCACACCGCTGGCCTTGGGCTCAGTAGCTAAGTGCTTAACTAGTGCATCACCTGGCCTCCGTCCGCAACACAGCCCTGAAAACTAGATACTTTATTTTAGGGACTTTTTACGGCTGGAAACCAAGGTCCAGGGAGGGTAGGTAACTTGCTTTAAGTAGATCACACTATCAGCTGGATGTGGTTCTCCACTGTGCTCTGGACGAGCCCCTCCTTTCTTGTCCCATGTGTGTCCCCTCCATCCCCAGGGTCATCTCATGGTCCCAGATGGCTGCTCCATCCTCAGCCATCAGGAAGGAGGGAATGGGGTAACCAAGGGCAGGCCCTCATCAACCAAGGCCACTTCCCGTAAGTTGTACACAG